TTGGTGGTGACCAAAAATATAATCAAAAATGGAATGTTTGGAATGTTTTTTGAAAAATTTTTTTTTCCTGGATCAAACAGCAAAGTTGATTTGTTTTCTTTCTTCTTTTTCTTTTCATTCTTCTTTGTTATTTGGTCCGAATTGAATAGTCAAGAAAAATATTTGTGAAAAAAGAAAAAAAATTCACAGTATGTGATTGATCAAATTGGCGAGAAAAATATGCAAATTTTTTTTCAAATTAGAAACCATTGACAATGACTATTATTAGTTCCAATTAGGTTAGGTTTGATGACTATTATTCCATAGTTTCAGTCAGGTTAGGTTTGTTGATTACTGTTATTAGTTCAATTAGGTCATATTTATTAATACTAGATGGCGGGTAAGCAATCGAAATTTATTTTATCACGTGATCACTGAAATATTGCTCTGAAATATATAAGAAATCATCGTCGTCATAATTTATTGTCGGGTCAGATGAGTTTGTTTTTTTTTTGGTGTAAACAATTAATCAATTCAACAGAAGAAAAAAAGATTAATTCCATCATATTCATTCAATGAAAAGTAATCAAGAAAATGAATTTATCAATTTCAAACTAATTTCTATTTTTTTTTCTTTTCAGATATTTAATTTGATTATTCGGTTTAATTAATTTGAAGAAAAACCAAACAGCTGTTTACTCTTTATTAACTTCGGACATTTATTTAATTGCGTTTCGTTTGTTTTGAATGAAAAAAAAACATGGTTAAATTATATCATCTAGCAATTTTATATAAACGTGAAAATAATTCAGTAATATCATTAAAACATGCATCCGATCTATCATCATTTGGTTTTTTTCAACGTAATACTGTTGGTGAATTTATACGGTTTACAGCTAAAATGATTGTTGAACGTTCAGAATTATCCACTCGATCATCAGTACAACAACAAGAATATTTATGTCATTGTTATATACGTTCAGATCGTTTAGCTGGTATTGTTATTTCTGATCAAGAATATCCATATCGTGTTGCACATACATTATTATCAAAAATATTAGAAGAATTTACTGAAACAGTACCATCAATAAATTGGCCAACAATGAATGATGGACAAGCACCATATCTTAAATTAGATCAATATTTACAACGTTTTCAAAATCCAAAAGAAGCTGATGCAATGACCAAATTACAAACTGAAATTGATGAAACAAAAGTTATATTACATGGTGCTATTACTGGTCTATTAGAACGTGGTGAAAAATTGGATGATTTAGTTGAAAAATCTGAAGTATTATCCACACAATCAAAATTATTTTATAAAACTGCACGTAAAACTAATCAATGTTGTCAATATTATTGAAATTATTCAAACAACAACCACAAAAGACATTTATTGACCAAGATAATTCGCGGATTTTCAAGAAAAAACAAAAAATTCCTTGATTTTTTTTTTAATTTATTTTTTTCTGTTCTTCATTTCTTTCCTTTTTAAACCTGGAATTTTTTTTTCTATTAAAATATTTTCATTTCATTTTACTCATCATTTTCATATGTTTGCTTCTTTGTTTGTTTGTTTGACCATTAAAAAAAATTTTAAAATTTTAAATTTTATTCGATATTTTCAATGAATAAATTACAGTTTTTTTTTGTTTGTTTTTAAAAATTAGGGTAATAAAGGGTTAAACAAAAAAGGAGAAGAACAAAATTAAAAAAAAAGTTAAAATAGCCGTCCACGTTGTTGTTGATTCATTGATGGACGATTTCTATCCATCCTTGTTCTATCTGGTCGATAATGATTATTATTATTATTAACAAAATTTGAATATAATGGTGGTGATTGTTGTCGAATGTCATCATTATCATTATCATCTTGCTGTAATAATGTTGATGATCGTCGAAGATTATTATTATCAATATTTCTGCTGTTATGATTAGGATTATTCAATGTTGAATATGAACCAGGTGATTGTAATGATCCAGGCCATTGTTGTTGTAATGTTTTTGATCTAGAAATTAATTGCTGTTGATTATGTTGATTTGGCTGATGATTTCCATAATAACCATTTGATGGACCATGTTGATCACGATGATGATGTGGACCAAAACCACCATTATGACGTCTATTCAATATTTCATTATCATCATCATTATCATCATAATGTACACCTGAAGTTCTTGTTCCAATCGGTGGCGCCAATGTAGTTGGAGCAAATCCCATTGAATTCGGATTATTATTATGATAATAATCATAATTGTTTGGTTGATGTGGTTGCCGTTGATTAAATTGATTTTTTGAATGATGTTGATGATTATTTGGACCATGATATTCATTTGAAGGTTGTAAATTTGGATTATGATTATTATGCATAGAATTTAAATTATTACGATATGGTGGCTGTATTGGTTGATATGCATTATTATATGCAGGTGGTAAATCGGTTGTAAGCAATGGTAATGGTGTTGTCAGGATTATATGGCCACCATCATTATTATCGGGTATTTCATTCTGACTATTTCCACCATCCTGTTGATGTTGTTCACCATCACCAGCACCTTCAGGATATTCAGCTTCTTGTTGTTCACCATCACCTGAACCAGAATTATCATAATCAGGACTTGTTTGTTGTTCGGATTCGGATTCTGGTTGATGTTGATTAGATTGCTGTTGTTGACGACGTTCACGTTCCATTTCTTCACGTTGTTGTTTTTCCTGTTGTCGACGTATTTCGGCTATATCATCTCTAGATAAAAGACCAGGTGGAAATAGTCCTTCCGGGAAATTATCATTCATAGGGCCACCAAAATTTTGTAATTGTTGAATATCAGGATCATCGGCTGGATTTTGTTGTTCACCACCACCACCACCACCCGCACCACCGTCGGCACCACTTTCTTCCCCGCCACCATCATTACCATAATCTTGTTGTCCAGGATCAACTTGTTGATCTTCACCACCACCACCTTCACCACCTTCCCCTTCACCTTCATTTGATGATCCATCATCAATTTCATTTGTTTCGGGCGGTGGTGTTTGTTGTTGATAATTATCATTACCACCATAATAACCACCATTTATTCGATCTTGATGGGGATTCGAAACTAAATTATCGTTGAAGAATCAAAGATCAAAGATCGAAAATCAAATTCGAAAATTACCTTGGCCAAAATTCCGCTGTTGCGGTAATCCAAAATTCTGTTGCTGTTGTTGTTGGTGATTTGGATTCATTCGACGATTCTGATTATTCATAAATCGATTATTATTATTCAGTTGATTATTCTGATTCTGATTGTTCATCGGGTTATTGAATCCCATAGGATTAAGTGCACGACCTAAACCATTCAGACCATTCAAACCAATCTGACCGATTTGTCCTAATAAACCTTGTTGTTGTCCAGGTGATATTTGTGATTGTATGGCTCCTTGATTTTGTGATTAAAAAAATTGAAAAAATTTGAAAAAATTAGAAAAAGTTTCCGGAAATCGGGAAAGTTTCCGAAAGTTGGAAAAAGTTTCCGGAAAATTTCTTATATATTTACTTTGAATAATTGGATCACGTAATAGTTGTGGATTACGCATAATTTGTTGTGCTATAACTGGATTTTGTTGTGCTAAAAGCTGTAATCGTGGATTATTACGTAATAACATTGCTATTTGTGGATTAATACCACCACTACCGCTTCCACCACCCATACGATTAGCCATAAAGGGATTCTGTTGTTGTGCATCAACTTTCATTGGATCTTTACCAATATTAGCTATACCATTATAAACATTTGCATTACTATCGGTGGTTAAATTCAATGTTGATGATGATGGTGGTAATTTATTGATGATCAACGATGATGATGATGAAGAATTTTCAACTGGCACATAATTATTGATTATCGTCGTCGATGTGGTTTTCGTATCATCATTCATCGATGATATCGTTGTTGTTGTTGTTGTTGTCGATAATTCACCTATAACATTCGTTATCAGGATTAATAAAAAATTTAAAAGAAAAATTAAAAGTTTCATCGTTTCGTTTTGGTTGTTGTTCGGTGTTGGAAATATGAAAAAAATCACAAGAAAAACAAAACGTTTTGAAGTTTTTTGTTGAAGAAATTGTTAAGAATGAGAATTTCACTATGTGCTGTTACATGATTCTTTGTTTCATTTCGTTGTTGGTTGTTTGGTTTGAATTCAAATTTGGATCATATGATTCACAACAGTGTGTTTCAGTTATCAAAATGAGCAAGCTGAAACAAAAAAAACTTGAGCAAAAATGTTTCAAGCAAAGCGACTATTTGAACGGAAATGGTTCATTTTTTCTATTTGTGTAACAACTGTTTTCTTAAAACAAAGAAAAACAAAAATCTTGAATTGTCAATTCTAATTTTAGGTTGACAATTTTCTCTTTTCTTCTTTTCAGTGGTTTTTGTTGTTGCAATACCTGTTGAACGCTGGAACACACACACATATAAATTTAACACTTTGTCCTTGAATTTTTTTGTCTATAAACTTGGCTTAGCTCAGCAGAAATGATTTGGATTTCTTCATATTTCCGGTCGATGTTTGTGTGTGCGTTTTACCGGATAGAAAAACAACCAAAAAAAAAAACGAAATAGCAAAATGTAACAAAAACAATAGATTTTCACCTCAGATGAGGTGTTTGAAATGAAATGAAATGAAAAATTTGAAACAATATTGAATAATCGTATAACATAATACTTGTGTGTGTGTGTGTAAGAGGAAATACTTTTTGGGAAATTTTCTGTTTCGGATTAGATTGGATGATTCATCTGAATCTTTTCAAGTTTTCGACTTTTATTACTGTCGTTGTTGACACAAGGAAACAAAAACAAAAAAACAAAGAAAAACCATCAATGATTTAGGTCAAGTTTAGATTCAATTCGTAAGAAAAAATCAAAAATATTTGAATATTTGAGAAAGGGAAAACGATATGCATCATTGATTTTTGTTGGTGATGGTGGTGATTATCGATATTCAAAACGATAGTCCAAACAATCGATTGTTATCAGAAAAAAAGAACGTTAAGATCATTCTTTTTTTATAAAAATCCACCTAAAAATGTCCTCGACATCATTCGTTGATTATCATCGTAGTCGTCGTCATCATTAGGATTAACAATCGAAAATCGATCATCACGATAACGATTGATTGATTGATTTGATTATAACCATAAATATTCAATTTGATCTCTAAAATTTGATTTTTTTTTTAATAAAAATTTTATTTCAATTTTTTTTTCTAGAAAAAATGATGATTACACCTGTTGCAACAAATGAAATGTACAAATTTCATCATCATCATCAAAATGATGATTCAAACATTCAAACGAAATCAAATCAAATCAATTACAACATTTGTGATCATAAAATTCTTTTTTTTTTGTTTTGGGTCGATTGTTTTATATCGATGTCGTCGATTTTTTGTTCTGGTATTGCCTAGATCTAAATCGTCAAAAAATGGTTGTCGAAATAACAACCAAAATCATCATCATCAACAAGAGAAAACGACTGGGATTACGATAATAACCATAGAAACAACAACACTTTTGGTACATTTTTCGGGGAAAAGAAATGAAAATTTTTATTACACATTTTTAAATTAGAAACAAAAAACATTTTGAGTGAATAATCAACGATTATACTACATTTTTTTTTTTGAAAAATATCTGTACCTTTTAAACCATCTGTAATCAATCTGAAATTGGCAAATGTATTAACCATGGTTTGTGTCCATAGTGATCAGAAAGTTCTTGACATTGATTTTAGTTTTTTCATTTCTCACTAATCAAATTATCATAATTTCTTTCTTATTGTTTTGTTTTAAAACATTATAATTTTGTTTCTAATCTAATAAAGCAAAATGGTGGGGAAAAAAATGGATTAAATAAGATCCGAACAAGCAGAAAAACAAAACTGTAAAACTTGTTGTTTTTGCACTCACGAACACATATTCCCAATAACTAGAGAGAAATTTTTCCTGGAATCATTTTGTAAAAGAAACATTTCCGGTAAGTTCTACAGCCAGAATAATATTCTTCATGGATGCAAAAAGGATTGTGCGCATGGCGCCTATGAATTGATAAACAAACCAAAAAATGTTTTTTTTTTGTTTTTGTTTTTCAAAATCTTTGGAGAAAAGAGAGCAGACAGAATTTGAAATTCAATTGAAATTATGGTGGAGCTCTCAATTAAAATTCCTGATTGCTTAATCAACCAAATCTGGAAAGAAATCTGCCCGATTTCTAGTTTGATTTGGATTTGGTACACATCAGCCCTGCTCCTATCATCAATTAGCCATTGTTTTTTCTGTTGTTTTTTTTTTAAAAAATGATGATAAGGATGTGATTGCAATTTTGCAGATTAAAAAATACAACAAAAATGAAATCTCCAAAAAAATCAATTTCCATTTGATTGCCATCAATCATCAATCATTAAATGATTAATTTTTTTGTTTTTTCTTTGTTTTTTTTCTGTTCAAAGTTTTAACATCCATCGAAAATGTCCAACAACAACAACAACAACGACAGCGACGACGATCAACCACCGAATCGTTCAGCATTAACTGATGCATGTATCGATATTTGGTTATTATCACGAAAAAATTTCAAAATTCAATTCAGACATCGTTTAGCAACATTTTTAGAATTAATCGTACCATGTTTATTAGTATTAATGATTGCTATTATTCGTACAAAAGTATCGGTTACCGAATTCAATGAACCAACAATTTATCAAGAATTTGATTTGCTACAAATACCAAAAATATTGGACCAACAACCGGAATTTCAAATTTATTTTACACCAAATACAAGTCAAACTAATCAGATTATGGAAAATTTACTTGAAAATTTGAAACAAAAATGTCAAATTAATCGATTATATGAATTAAAATTACCCTGTCATCCATCTATAACTGGTTTTGAAAATTCAAACAAAATGATTGATCAATATTTATTGGATGATAAATTTGTATTATGCGGTATAGAATTTGAACAATTAACGAATGATAATATTAAATTTTCGCTACGTTTTAGTAATATACCAAGAACATTGAAACAATCAGCTATGAAAATTGAAGATTGGAAAACACAAATGATTATGATGAATGTAATGCCAGCCGGACCAAGAGATAAAAATAATACGAATGGTGGTCAACCGGGTTATGAAGATGAAGGTTTTTTGTTTATTCAACATTTATTATCAATGGCTATTGGTAAAACATTATTTGCTAATGATAGTAATTTTGATTTATTTAACATGATGGAAATTGAACTAATGGGACAAAGATTTCCATATCCAAAATATATTGATGATATATTTTTATTCAGCCTAAATTTCCTATTTCCATCAATATTTTTATTTAGTTTTTATTTTTCTGCAATCAATCTAACCAAAACTATTGTTAATGAAAAAGAAAAACGTATAAAAGAATCAATGAAAATGATGGGTTTAAAAGAAAAATATCATTTTATTGCTTATTTTATTAAATCAATTCTGTTGATAATACCGGCTATTATATTGATAATAATATTTTTAAAAATAAGTTTTGCACATAATAGTCCACCAATATTGATTACCGATTCAACAATATTGTTTGCATATTTTTTTCTTTATCAAATTTGTAATGTTTGTTTTTGTTTTATGTTGAGTACATTTTTTTCAAAGGTAAGTTTTTGGTTTGTTTTTGGTTTACCCTGTTTTTCAAAAATTTCTCAATATCAAAATTTTGTCTAAATCTAGGCAAATTTGGCTGGAATTTTAACCGGAATCATTTCATTTCTAACTTATTTACCCTATTTTCCAATGATACAAGAATACAAGTGAGTTTGTTTGCCTATTTAGTTTTGTTTTTTGATTTTTGATTTTTTTTAACCCTTTATTAACTCTTTTTTTAACAGTAATTATACATTATTGGCAAAAATTATAAATTGTTTAATGCCAAATACAAACATGTCATTGGGTGTATTTATAATGTTAATGAGAGAAACACGTGGTATACCCATTACATGGAATAATATATCCGATCCAGCCATACCGGATGATTCATTAACATTTTCAGTTATATTGATAATGTTTGTAGTAAATTCATTAATCTATTTAATAATAACATGGTATGTAACATTAGCATTTCCCGGTGAATATGGTGTACCATTACCATGGTATTTTCCATTTACAAAAAAATATTGGTTCGATTCGAATAATGTTGATAATCAAAATGATAATCAAAATTCTTCGAATGAAGATATCGATGATATGGATGATAATAATGATCATTTACAATCAATTGAATCATATCCAAGAAATCATAAAATTGGTATTAACATTAAGAATCTTTATAAAACCTATGATAATGGGAAAACATATTCGGTTAAAAATTTAAGTTTTAAAGTATTTGAAAATCAAATTACAGCATTATTGGGACATAATGGTGCTGGTAAAACAACAACAATATCATTACTTTGTGGCCTGTTTCCACCTACAAATGGTACAGCCATTATAAATGGTTATGATATTCGTACAGAAATGAATCGAATCCGTTCGAGTTTAGGAATTTGTCCACAATCAAATCTATTGTTTGATGAATTAACTGTTGAAGAACATTTAGATTTTTATTGCCGGCTAAAGCATACAAATTTAACCAATGAACAAATTAAACATGAAATTAAACAAATGGTTAAAAAATTAGATTTAAAAGATAAATTTCATGTACAAGCAAATTGTTTATCCGGTGGTATGAAACGAAAATTATCTGTTGGTATTGCATTGATTGGTGGATCGAAAATTGTTATATTGGATGAACCAACATCAGGTTTAGATGTATCAGCCAGGCGTTTTATTTGGGATTTATTGTTGCAGGAAAAAACCGGTAGAGTTATTATAATATCAACACATTTTATGGAAGAAGCTGATATACTTGGTGATCGTATTGCTATAATGGATTTTGGTAGTTTACGTTGTTATGGTTCATCATTATTTTTGAAAAAACATTTTGGTGCTGGTTATCATCTGAGAATGGAGAAACGATCTCCGGATATTGATTCAGATTTAATAAAGAAAATTGTATTGGATCATATTGATGGTGCAAAAATGGAAAGTTCAGTCGGTATTGAATTAACATTTTCGTTACCGAATGAACAGATTTCTAAATTTGGTGCATTATTACGTCGTATTGAAACTGAACTTGTTGATCAAATTGTTAATTATGGTATTTCAATAACAACAATGGAAGAAGTTTTCCTTAAAGTTGGTAGCCATAATCAACAAAAAACAAATGAATCATTGGGTGAAATTGATGGTAAATCATCTTCAGCATCTGCCATCAATATTGGTAATGGTAATCATTCAACAACAACAACAACAACAAAAATGGTAGCAAAAGTAAAAAATTCTGGTAAAAAATTAATTGGACAACAATTTTATGCCTTATTGATCAAACGTATACTTTATTCCATAAGAAATCCAATATTAACATTAACACAATTCATTCTACCAATATTAATATTAATATCAACATTATTAATGATGCGTTCAATACCACAATTAGCACCATTTCGTAAATTAGAAATGAGTCTGAATCAATTTCATAATCCATTAGTAAAATATTTTGTACAAAATGATAGTCGATCATTATCGTTGGCAAATGATTATGCTGAAACATTAATGAATGAAATTCATTCAGATAGAATTATTGCCATACCGGATGTTAATGAAACAAAAATTATCGATGAAATTATATCGGTTAATAATTTTGTTTATAATTATGAATTTGTAACATCGGCTTTATTTCAATATGCAATGGATTCAAAATTTGAATTAAAAATAACGGCATTGTTTAATGATCAACCATTTCATACACCATCCATATCGTTACGTTATATTGATCAAGCACTATTAAGACATTTTTATAATCGAAAAAACATTCAATTATCCGTATCAAATTATCCAATGCCATTGACTATAAAGGAAAAATTTTCCAAACTTAAAATACCTATAAATGTTCAAGGTGATTTCCAGGTTATACAATCAATCATTATGGGTTTATCATTTTTTCTAAGCAGTTATGCTATATTGATTGTTGATGAACGTATTTCGAAAGCAAAACATTTACAAAAAATATCCGGTTTACGTATGTTTTATTATTGGCTTTCATTTTTATTATGTGATTTTATATTATATCTTTTATCGATTGTATCGATCATCATTACACTGCAAGCATTCAAAGTTGATAATCTACATGAAGATCAACAATCATTTTATTTATTTGTTGGTTATGGTTTATGTGGTTTAGCATTAATACCATTCGTTTATTCAGCATCATTTTTCTTTTCCATCCCAGCTACAGCATATGCAAGATTAAGTTTAGTGCTTATACTAAGCAGTATAACATCAATGATTGCCGATCAATTAACAGCAATCAAACAATTTGATCTAATGAATATTAACCATGCATTGAAACCAATATTTCATCTATTTATACCATTATTTGATATAAGTAAAATTACAAGTAATCTACAAACAAATTATCGTAATAATAAAATTTGTCATATGGAATATAATGGTATTTCTATACAAAAATTATGTAAATTTTTGAATAGTACATTTCATGATGATAGAATGGAAGCATTGCGTCCTTGTTGTAAAGGTAAAAATCTTTTATCAAATTTTGTAATTTTTTTTTGATTAATTTTGTTTTTGTTTTTCGTTTAGATTACTGTAATGAAACTTGTTTGAATTTTGAAGAAAATTATTTTTCATTAAATGATCCTGGAATTGGTTCAAGTTTACTGTATGTAATTGGTTCGGCAATAATCTATTGGTTGGCATTATTTTTAATCGAAGTAAATACAATTGTATCATTGAAAACATTTATTGAATTAATTCGCAGAAAATTTACGGAAAAATCTGAACCAATAATATATTCATCTGAATTAATACCGGATGATGATGTACAATCGGAAAAATCATTTGTAAATAAAATTGTTTCAACCGGACAATATACAAAATATTCATTGGTTATAAATAATTTACAAAAAATTTATGGAAAATTTACAGCCGTTGATAATATTTCATATTGTGTTGGTGTTGGTGAATGTTTTGGTCTGTTGGGTGTAAATGGTGCTGGAAAAACAACAACATTTAAAATGATAACGGGTGATGAATCAATTACATCGGGTGATATATTTATTAATGGTTTTGATGTTACAAAAGAACCATATAAAACATTAGGACAAATTGGTTATTGTCCACAATTTGATGCATTATTTGATGATTTAACTGGTGAAGAAATATTAAGATTTTATTCACGTTTAAGAGGAATACAAGAAAAAGATATTGATGAACAAATTACTGAATTAAGTCAACTTTTATATTTTGAAATGTATTTGAATAAATTATCAAGTACATATAGTGGTGGTAATAAACGAAAATTAAGTACAGCAATTGTAAGTACTGATTTTTTGAATTTTTGAAATTTATAAAAAATTTCCTAAATTTTTCTTGTATTTCAATTAGGCTTTATTGGGAAATCCGGCTGTATCATTTTTGGATGAACCAACATCAGGTGTTGATCCAGTTGCACGACGTTGTCTTTGGGAAGCAATCGGTCGTAAACTTAAACAAAATATTTCCATTGTACTGACATCACATTCAATGGAAGAATGTGAAGCATTATGTAATCGTTTAATAATAATGGTAAATGGACAAATTACTTGTATTGGTAGTCCATTACATCTGAAAAATAAATATGGTAATAGTTATAATCTTACATTGAAAGTTTCACAAAATCGACTTTTCGATCAAAGTTTTCGTCGTCAATCATACAATGAATTGGAGAAAAAAATTGAAAAAATCAAATCATTTATGTTGCAAACATTTCCAACAAGTAAACTAAAAGCTATACATAATAATCAATTAGAATATATAATACAAAATCAAGATGATTATATTTTACGTTGTAGTGAAATATTTGATGTTATCGAAACAAACAAAGAATTTTTACGATTAGAAGATTATTCGGTTAGTCAAACAAATCTTGAACAAATTTTCTTATCATTTGCTCGTAAACAACATGAACGTTTGGAAGATGTTTTGAATGAAAAAATCGAAGAAAATACCACCGAAGAAAATGAAACAAATTTATAAACGAAAAAAAATTTATTTATTTTTAGTTTTTTTTTTGAAATTTTATTTTTTGTTAATCTTTTCCAATTGTACAATTAATTGTTCATTTATTTTACATTCCTATTTGTTGTTGTTAATGTTGTTTTTGATTATAAAATAAAATAAAAATTATTAATTGAAAATATTAAGCAAAAATAATTATCATTTACCTCTTTAAAAGCTTTTACAGCAATAAAATAAAGTCTTTGTTCATCAATAAGACCTGTATATTTGGATAAAAGTTGATCACGTTTTTCTTTTTCATTCTGTAATCGTTGTTCAACTTTTACTTTATTTTCAATTATTGAATCAATTGTTTGTTGAAATTTCATTAGAAATTCATTTTTTATCATTAAATTTGATACCGATGCTCTGTGGAGCAAAATAATAGTTTTAGTAAAGTTTTTGTATTTTTTAAAAAATAAACATACTTTTGAAAATTTTCCAAAATTGAATTGATTAAATTGAATTCTTTTTCCAGATACATTCGTTCATCCGAAAGAGTATTATATAGGGTATAGAATTTTTTCGTTTCATTATGTTTTGCTGATACTGTGTAGAAAACAAAATTTCAAAGATTAACGAAAAAACAATCAAAACAAACAAACATACATTGATTATAAAGTTCAAGAAAACGTTTCTGATATTGTGCCAATTCGGTTCGATTAGGTATATCATCAAATTTTCTTTGTATAATAGCCAATTTTTTATTGATTGATGATAAATCTTTTTTAACATTCGTATGACGTTCATTATACATTGTTAATTCTTGATCAATTTCTTTTAGTCGATCATTATTACGTTGATCATTATTCGATTGACGTTTATCAATCATTTCGATTTGTTGTTCTAAACGTTGTTTTTCTTCACGACAATGTTGTTTTAATTCAGATTTTTGTTTTCGTAATACATTCAATAATTCGGTTAGCTGAATTTTTTCCGATTTTTCCGATTCATTTTCATTCATTTCAAATTCTTTTAATTGTTCACTTTTTTCATCTAATTTTTTTAATTTTTCCTAATTTGAAAAAAAGAAAAGAGTTTCTGTAAATGAGAAAAAAACTAAATCAAAATATATTTTACCTTTAAAGTGGATAATTTTTCATCATTTCTATTTTCCAATAAACGTTGAAGTTCTTTTTTCCTTAAAGAAATATCCATTTTAAGTTTAGATTCTTCACGAATAAATTCCGCATCTTTCGTACTGATTAATGTTTTCTTTCGATCATAATCTTCAGCTAAACGTTTAATTTCATTCGATTGTTCACCAACTATTTTAACAACAATGGATGATGATATTTTTGTTGAATTACCAATTTGTCGATTTTTATCATTTGTTTTGGTCATTGATTCTAGTAGATTTTTATTTTCATTAGATTCGGATTTTGTTGTCTTATCAGTGTGATCATTATCATCATCAGCAGTATCATTGGGAAGATCTGATAAAATTTGTTCATCCATACTGGTAATACCATATTCTAATAATGTAGTTTTAATACGAATCAATTCATCTTTTAGTTTATTACGATTTGGATGTAGAAAACGTCTTTGTAGATTATGTTTGATTGGATCAATCAATTCATCATTTTCATTATTATTATTGATTATCACAGCTAATGATGATGATGAACATTGATCATCGATATGATGATTAAATGTACGATCAAATTGCCAACTAGAATATGAACGAACATAATCGGCCATTTGTTGTCTTGTTTCTAATGATTTTTTCACAAGCCATTGAATTGCTATATGAATATGAATTGAATCAAGAATATTCCAAGATTAAAGAATTTCATTTTTTATTTGTTCAACTTACCCGGATAAATATGTATACAATCCATTCCTTGTATTTGATGTGGTTCCAATTTGAATGGACATTTCATTTTTTGTAAAACGTTTACAATTTTTTCAGTCAATGCACTATGTATGGGTATAAGAATCATTATAAAAGTCAGAATCAACGATAAGAATTTGCATACATTTTTTGGCCAATCGAAAGATTTTCCTGATAAAATATATCGATATCTAAATCGATATTGCACATTTGAATTGCCCAACACATTCCACCGATAATCTATTGAATTTTTGAAATTTATATTTTTCAAAAAAAAGAAATCAAAAACGATAATAAATACAAACCTTATCAAAATTATGTAAACCTTTTATACGTGCACGAAAATAACCACCAGCAACCAATAATTCACATATTTCATTCATTTTTCTAATCTGTTCATCATCTTCACGAATATCATAGATTAAATTATTTGAGTTTCCACTGGAATCAATATTTTTATCATCAAAATCTTTTCGTAATCTTAAACGATTCAAATCAACATTGGTCAAACGAAATTTTATTCGATTCGATTTTTTCCATGCAGTTTTCGTTCCCATTGATGGCAGTGATGATGATGATGTTTGAGCAATATCTTCGACTTTTGTTTTCAATTTTGTCTTATCCGGTAGATTATTATTGATGACATGATTCGTCGTTGTTGTTGAACCATCTATCGTTGAAGAATCATTTGGAATTTGTCGTTGTTGATTTGACGATGAGGAAGGCTTTTTTGATGGCGTTGTAATCACTGGTTTTGCCGGCAATGCCGGCTTAATCATTATTTTATTATTATCACTGATGATATTATTATTATTCGTTGATTCGAGAGAATTTTCCAACGAATTTTTCTTCTTCAACAATGATGTTCGTGGAACAATCTGTGGTTTTGAAGTTTGATTCATTTTCTTTTGAATTTTGTTTTTTCAGTGTAAAAAAGCGCGACTAGCATGCATACGATCGATAAATCGTTGAATTAGGCCACAATAATTTTTATAAAATAAACAAAAAAAACAAAGATAAATTCATTTGGGAAAAATAAGAAAAAGAAAAAACTTGATAAAAAACAAAAACACCCGAACCAAAATGAAAAAAAAACAGTTTTTTTTTGAGGATTCGATTCCATCCATAAAATATGTGTCAACCGATTCGATCGAATGTTTATCCATTTTTTTTCGATTCGATCCAAAAAAACGTGTCCATCAAATTAACCGCGGAATTGAATCATCAATCCGATCAACAATGTCCACCGATAATAATAATGATGATAATGAAAAAATTCTTAAAATTGAAAGAAAATTTCTTTGCCGTAGTCGACAGATACGAAAATTATTGCATTTTTTAAAATTAAATCAAATTGAAAATTTAATCGTAAATGGACCAAAATCAACCGGGAAAACATCGATAACCAGAACATTATTGAATGAATTTGATTATACATATCTATGGTTTGATATGATCAATTGGGATAATTCGAATCGGTTTTTTTTCGAAAAAATTCTTCAACAATTCAAAAATCATATTGTTAAATTGAAAAATTCCGACAATGATGAAGATGATGATGAAGAAGAAGAATTGTCACCAACAAAAAAGAGAAAATGTTTGAATCCAGTTCAATTTATTGATTCGATGATTGATTTATTGAAAACTTATCGACAATTACAAGAAACCTTGAATAATCAACAACAAAAAATAATTTTAGTTATTGATAATTCTGATATTATCGTTGATGAAAATAATGAAAATCTTATATATTTATTACAAAATATTAATCAATTAACTGATAATATTTATCCAATTCAAATAATTTGGATTATAAAATATCGTTTAGAACGTTTATATCGATTAATTGATTTTAAAATGAATTTATTGGAAATTCATTTTGAATCATATAATCAACAAGAACTTTTTCAATTATTAACACAACAACAATCATCATTATTACCCCGAAATGATCCACATAAATTATATCGAAATTTTGTTCATCTTATCCTCAAAACTTTGATACCATTTGAAGATAATTTTCTTAATTTGAATTTTATTTGTCATAAATATTTTGATAAATATTCATTACCATTAATGAATAATAACGAAGAAGATGATGATGATAATGATGAAAATATCGTCGTACAACAACATAATAAAGTTGGACAATTATTTATAAAATTTCAACCATATCTTCAAGAAATTATTTCACAATTAAATGGTCAAATTATTGATGGTTGGAATGAAAATATTCGACAATCAATTCGTTCAATGTCATTATCATTATGTTATACATATGTTGCTGTTTATCTGGCCACTTATAATTCAACCAAAATGGATATCCGATTTTTTGTTCGTAATCAACGTAGCACTTATAATAAACGTTCAAGAAAATCATTCAAAATTAAAGAAAATGAATTGAAATGTCCAAAATGGTTTGAATTAGAACGTTCATATCATATTTATCGTTCATTGATTGATTTGAATGAAAAAGATTCCAGTGTTCGTTCGAATTTATTGATACAACAAGACTGTGAATTTCTAAAACAAATAGCAAATCTTTATGATTCGAAAATATTGTTAGGAAAATCTTCAACATCTCAATGGTCTTGTTCAGGTGATTCAAAATTTCAATTATCACAAGTGATTACCGATGATATTATTATGGATATTTCATCAAAAATTGATCTTGATATTAATGCATTTTTGGTTCATCGAATTGAACGTAGTTGTTTTTAAATGATTAATTTTCTTTCTTCTTTTTTTTCAATAAATTTTTATATTGTGCTAATTTTATATCAACATAACGTTTATGTTCGGATAATTTTTTCTGAATATCATCCATAGTTTCATGTTCAGGTGAATAACAAACATGTAAAATTGATCCAAGAAATTCACGATCATCCAGATGTTTTTTCGCTCGAATTGCATCCGTTATTCGATCATATTTAATTAGGTAAATATTTTCAAATGATTCTTGTCGATGTTCTTCGATGTTATCGGGATAATTAACCAATTCAAATTGTTCAATTTTACCGAATTTTTCACAAATTTCACGTAAATCCTTACGAACATTAACACCAGATAATTTTGGTACTTTTTGTATTAGAATATATCGGGATTCATCAGCAATAGTAAAAACTTTTATTGCAGTTAATTTTCTACCTTGACGATATCTGGATCTTGTTTGACATAATTGTTGTCGATTATGATGTTCATAATGTTGGATGGTACGAATTTTTAATTTATCCATTATTATCATTCGAAAAAGTCCAAATGAATGTCCAAAACAAAAACATTCTTTTTTTCAAGCAATTGCAACGCCATCTATCGTCCGAAAATATGATTAAAAACTTTATTTTTTAAAAATCAACATTTTTTATTTGGCAAATTTTTTTTTTTTTTTTTGGTTTAGAAAATTATCATTCAAAAGGAATATTATGTAGCAGGCCAAAAAAAATGACTAGTAGATCAGCATGGTTAAGATGGTTGGTTGTTGTTGTTCATCACCATTATCATTATGATTATCAGATTTGTCTGTTTTACAATGACAGAAACAATTGAACAAAATAATATAACCAAATAAAAAAACCAATAGTAGTTAGTATTGAATAGAAACGATTTTCAAATATACGATTAAATTCAGGTAAACCATTCAAGTTACAGAAAAAATGTAATAAAAATGGTGTAATCAAATGTCCAGATGATAGATATTGTACGGAAGCAATAATACCAAATAAACCGGTATAAATACATTGTATAATTGTTGTTATAAAATCATCATCAAAATTTGTTGTTGTTGTAGAATTACCACAAACATATTTAGCTAAACATGAATGTGAATGCATTAATGAAAATAATATTGATGATATCAGGATACATGAAAATTTTGACCAAAATGGCGACAGAATAGCCAAAAGAATACCACGAAATAAAAATTCTTCAGTAAATGGTGCAACAATAAGATTTCTTATTATTTTCAATATTGATTGATTATCAAATGAACGTAATAATTGACGAAAATATTGTTTATCTATACGTGGAATATCATCATTTAATATTTCATTTAGATTTAAATCACAACAAATTGGTCCAATAAATAATATTGTTATAAATATTAACGGTTGAAATATACATTCGATAAATAGATTCCAATTATTCTGGTAATGTTTATAGATAAAATAATCATAAAATGAATGATAATTATCTGGAACAGTACCAGTCGAATGACGAAATATGGTTAATAATTTTGATGATATCAACAATGCAATTGTAAAGCTAAAAAAATTTCTTTTTATTATAAATGGATCATTACGATCAATACGTAATGTATCACGCCAAACATATAATGATGATGGATATAATATTGATAAAAATATTGACATTAATAATGATTTGAATTTTATCGATGTTTCATAATCATCATTCGAATCAAACAACATTGAAGACATTTTTTACTGTATGTTTTTTTCAATTTTTCTAAATGTTTATTACCACCACAAATTTTCCAAAGTAAGATTTATTAAATTCTGAGTGAAAACAAATTGAAAAATTTAATTACAAAAAGTTGACAGCCAAAACTAAACAAAACAAATTAATAAATCAATCAAAAAACAAACAAAAACAAACATTGATTGTTATGTAACATTGTTTTTGAATTATTAATCACGTGATTATCGAATTTTTTTTTTTGTTATTCTTTTCACGCATGCTCATTATTGATTGGGTCCTTGTTTGGAAAAAAGATCACAGCTATCGAATGAAAAGAAAAGAAAAAACTTGGCCTCAGTGTTAACAAACAAAACAAAAAATCTCAAAGACGGCCCTAAAACTCGCACACAAATCTTTGAGCATATTTTATTAGTTTGTTTTCGTTTTAATCGAAAAAATTTGTGTTTTTTTTTTGTTCGCAAACATCATCTTCCTCGCAGAAGGAAAGAAAAACCTTCTTCGGGAACAAACTTCGGTCAGAAGGTCAACACGTTGGAATGAGGAATGTGAAGTGAACAGCAGCAGCAGCAGCTGCCATTATCATCATCATTTTGTGTCCATTCATAACAACAACAACAACAAATTGACGAACAAAAATATCATCATTTTCAAAATGCTGCCGTGTTCCACCAACAACAACAACAACATCGAGATATATAACCGTGTTGTGTTGTGTTTACCTGTTGTTGTTATCGTTTAACGAGAAAACAACAACAACAAAATCTGTGTCTAAATGTCATCGATGATCAGATTGAAATTATCAATGATTTCAATGATAACTTTCCAACAACATTAAACATCTTAATTTTCAAAAAGGTTTGTGGCTTTTTTCTTTGTATACAAAATAAATTTCCAAAACGAAAATAATTAGTTCAATTAAACGAAAAAAACATCAACAATTATAATTCGATTTTCCAAACGTTTTTCTTCCTTTAAAATCTTTCTTTTTCGGAAAAAAAAATTTTCTCTTTTTTCCATTTCATTTACGCCTTGCCCACTGGCTCTTTCTCGCTCTGTTTTTCAGTTATGGACGAAAAAAAATTGTGAATGTAAAACATTTTTTCTTGTTTGACATCCTTTTTCAGCAAACATTTTTGTTCCAGAAAATCCAAACTAGTTGTTATATAATAAGCTTTGTGTGTAGAAGAAGTGAAGAGACGAAAAGACAGACAAAATATATCCGATTTGTTGTTGTTTTTGTTGAGCGAATCTCAAAAACAAAAATTTGAATCGCGAGGAATCATCCGTTTCAAATTCGTTCATCATTCGATTTTTGTTTGTTGTCAGTGTGGATATAGCCAATCAATCAATCGATTCAACCATCCATTCTGATTGTTTATTTGGTGATTACGATCAAAATACGTAATTTTTTTTCCTTCTATTAAATAAATGAAAAACCAACGATGATGATGATTACTATCATCATCACTATGTGATTTTATTAGTGTTTGTGCTGTGCTCATCTGGATTGCCAAACAATCAAACAAACAAACAAAAAAACACTTTTTGTTTCATTTCATTTTGTTCCATCATTTGTATTTGATGAAATGATCAGATCAATGAGAAAAAAATCATCTTTTCGTTATCGTTATCTAAACGTTTCGGCTCAAAACGAATTTTCATTCATTCATCATTTTTCCATCAAATGGAAAAATTTTGATTTGTTACCTTATAATTATATAACAGGTTCGTGTTTTGATGTTTTTGATTGTTGATTGTATCCATCATCATCATGATTCGATGTTGTTTGTTGGACATGATGATGATTGTTTGGAAGAAAAAAAAGTGTTTATTTCATCAATCAATTGGGAGACTCAAAATAATCTGATAGGTAGGCTTGTCATAATCATCATCATCCCGATCATCATCATCATGATTATATCAATCGTTATAAACCCCTTTCACTTTATATGAGAAGGAAAAAAATGATTTATATTTTCCATTTCCTTGATTTTCATTTTTAATTTTCTGTCATTTTTGATTAGTCCATCAAAAAAATTGATCGAACGTTCGAATTTTCGAACGTTTTCAAAACGTTCGAATAGTAGTCTATTTCAACCCTTAAGGTACGAAATGTTTTTTTTGCAGACCAAAAATCAGTTTTTTTTTGGTTGCCCAATCAAATCCTAATTTGATGAAATTATGATAATTTTCAAATAGATATTATGATGATGATGATGATTATAATGATGATTATCATCATGATCATCGAATCAGATTATGTTTTGTTACTATATTTATCAGAAAAAATATAAAGATGATTTTCGAGATAATCTTCTTATCACTCTCTTTGTTTTTTTTCATCCCCGCTGAATACCAAAGAAAAAAAATAATCAATTTTTTTCATTTTCATTTAATCCTGTGTTTGTCTGCCTCCCTTTCCCCTCAAAAAATTGATTATTTTCATCTTCATCATTATTGTTTTTCTGTTTTTCTAATTCTGATTGTCCAAGATTTTTAATTAATTGAAAAGAAAGAAAGCAAAAAATCTTAGAAATGTTTCCATCATCATCTTCTCTACTTTTCAGAACTTAATTGGTTCAGTCTGTTTGTTTGTTTGTCTTAATCCTTTTGATCTAGATAACAGAAAAAACAAGCCAAAAATTTACCAAATTCATATTTGTAACAAAAAAATTGATGGATGCTAAAAACAACAACAGAAATTTTTTTTCTCTCCTTTTTTTTACATTACCATGTTGAATTGTTTTGTAGGCTATTTTTATTCATCATCATCATTTTTGTTTTTTGTTTTTGATGATGATAATGATTGTCCAAGTTGTCCAGATATAACTGATGATGATGGTCAAATGGTTAAAACTACTGGGTTTCTCTCTCTGTGTGTGTTTCTTTTTACAAGTGTCAATAATGATAATAATTATTATTATTTCTTGTTGTCAAAAAAAGACATTGTTTTTTGTCGTTGTTCTATGTGATGTTTGGTCATTGTGAACTTGATTCAATTAAATTTAATTTTTAAAACAACAAAACAAACATCAATCATATGGAAAACGGACATTCATTCATTCATTACAGTGGCAAGTTGTTTGATTGAATTTTTTTGTCTATTTCCACACAAATTGCCTCGGTATACTTTGTTTTTTTGCTGTTTTTGTCAATGGACATTTAAAAATTCAACCACATTTTGTCCATTTCTTTTTCGGTTTGGCCTCATTCTTTCATTTTATTTCTCTTTATTTCTTTCTTTCTCAGTCAATCTTTTTTGTTTTTGTTTTTGAATTAAACATTTTCTTTTTCAATTCAATTCAAACTTGATTTGACTTGACTTGTTTGTTTGTTTATTCTGTGAGTGTGTTTGTGTGATCCATTATCATGATTATCATGATGATGATGATTTTGGGTGCCCATTTTCAATTGTCTTGTTACTCATTGAGTGAATGAATGTGTTTTTCTCGCTGAATTTTCAAAACTTTTTTTTATTTATTTTTGGGTTTCTTTTGGCCCCAAAAACGAATACAGACAAACAAACAAACAAACAAAAAGATCAGATCGATCAATTAATTCTCTATTGTTGATTTTTCATTTGATTTTTTGATTTTTCAAACAATGATTATCATCATTATCAAAGACGAATTCTATTGAATTTTGATTTTTGATTTTTTTGTTAAAATGTGACTGTAATTTATAATCAGATTTTCTTCAGAAAAAAGCATATATGATACTTTGTTGTTGGAAAGAATTATTTTTGATCGATGTTTTCTTTACCTGATCTTACCTGACATTCGATGATGATAATAATAGAGTTGAAATAGCTGAAAGAAAAGGTTAAAATAGTGGTGATGTACAATGATGATGATGATGATGAAAAGTTAATCAAGTTTGATCATTTTTTTTATAGTTATAAAAATAAACATTTATTGTTTGAGATTGCTTTTTGCAGAAGGTTTCCATTGACAGAAAAAAAAAATTATTAATCAATCGATCTGATCGTATCGATTATCAATCTATCCTGATTGAAAAAAAATACGAATATCGATTTGAATTGAATCAAAAAACCAAAAAATTCTAATTTTATTCAGAAATGATGATCCCATCGAACATAATCAATTTAAATTTTCAATTTGAATATCAGAGGTGGTGGTGGAAGCGTGGGATTCAAAATTGAATTTTTCCAATTGAATTTACCGTTTTTTTTATTCATTCATTCATCGGCTGATTGCCTATCGATTTGTTTGAAACCAAAGATTCTTTTGTTTTCGGTTCGGTTCATTTTTTTTTATTTTGGTTGGCCCAATTTTTGGTTTTGTCAATTGTTTTTGATTATTTTTTTTGTGTGTGTTTGACAATTTTTCTTTTGTTTTGTTTGAAAAAAAATTCAATCTACAGGTTTGTATTTTCATTCAAACATATTGATTTCATTTTATAAAATGAAATTGAAAATTAATTTTGAATGGCGCCAACCAGTACCTCCATTTGATAATCAATAATGATGATGATAAAGTCTATGACAAGCCATCATCATCATTGACATTTTTTATTTTGTCCTAGTTTTTTTTCGAGCAAAAAAAAATTCATTTCTTTTCTTCAATTTCATCAATGATGGTCATCATGATATTTTTTTTCGTTGTTGTTGTCCAATTCAAAATAGAACAAACAAGAGTGATGTGAAAAGAAATGAAAAAAAAACCAATTTTCAAATCTTTGAAATAAAAATTATTATTAAAGAGAACGATAATCATCATCATGATTCAAAGCTTTTACTTTTTGTTGTTGTTGTTGTTCAAGTTGTTCCTGGTTTAACATTTTTCTCCTAAAATAAATCTATATCTTCGTCTGTGTGTTAATCCACCATTCAAATTAAAGATGTTTTTTTTCATTTTCATTCACTTCTTCTTTCGACATTAGACATGTCTAATTTTTGATCTATTAAAATGTTGTTTTTTTCGATAGCGAGATCTTTGGGTTTAATAACAATCGTTGATGTCCATCAAACGAAAACGATCGACCGACCGACTGACCGATACTTGGTGTTGTTTTTTTTCTTCTTTTCAATTGAACTAAATTCGTAGCCGAAACGAAACGAAACAAAAAATGATCGATGATAGAAGACAACAAGACAAACCGACTAGCATCGCTTATTACGCCCGAATATCAAAAAAGAAAAGAGAAAAGAAGAAAGAAAGATTTCTTGTTTGTGGATTGATAGCTTGGCTTGACTTGATTTAGCATTTAAAGTTTATTTTAAGAGTTTTTTCTCCACAAATATCATCAGTTGTTCAGATGAGAACCGTTAGCTTGTTTTTTTTCATTTGTTGTTGTTGGTTGTTGCATGTTGAAAATTTCATTCACCGAACCTGTCCATTTCTTGTTGTACATACACACAAAGCCTGTCATTATTATCATTATTATCGGTCTTTGGTCGTCGTCGTCATCAACATCGTCATAGTCTGGTTGATTTTTGTTTCAACATTTGATTTTTGGATTTGCTCTGTTTTTTTTCTCTCTCCATTCCTCTGTATGTATTGTGCATGTGTTAAGTTTTTTGTCGTCATTCAGCATGAATTGAGTAATGGGAATTCATCATGTTGTTTTGTTTTGGCCCCCTTTTTTTCGAGAATCTTTTTTTTTGCACAGGATTTGTTTCCACAAACATATATTGATACCTGGCTGCTACCGTTACATGTGTGTCGGTGTAATTCTCTTTCTATTTTTGTTTTCTGATAAGAATTTTTTATCGAAAATTCAATTTTTTTTGTTATCAGCATTTTGTTGATTGATAATCAAATTTTTCATTTTTTTCCCAGTTTTTTCATCTGAAATCAAAAAATTTTTTCAAATAAAATCCTCTTCATAATTACCATCGAATGTGTAAATGACTGATGTTATTGATGATGATGATGATTAATGATCATTATCTCTAAATGTATGGACTACATATTTTTTTACTTAAAGTTTTTTTTGTTCTTCTTCTTCAGAACATCATCCATTCATTGATAATATTTATTTATTTTCAAATCTTTGTTTCAAACAGGTGTTGTTTTATTTTCAGTTTTTTTGGATTTTCTTCGTTCCCTTGTTGTTGATTTACACACAAACAAACAAACAAACATCGATCGTTATTATTATTATTATGATTACAGATGTGTGGTCACTTGTTTCTTGTGTTTTTGCTTATTATTGATTGAAATGAGAGCATATTTCTTTCTTTCTTTATATTCATATTTTTTACTATTTGTTTTTATGGTGGTAACCAAAATCAAAAACGAAAAACTTTATCTTTCTTTTTTTCTTTCGTTTGTTTGATTTTGTTTTGGAAATATTGTCACCACAGGCCAGAAGAATTTTTTTTCAAATATCGGTTTTGTTTGACCATTATGTTTATCATCATCATCATCATCGATAGCAAGATAAACATTCGTGTTTGAGTTTTGTTTGGTTTATGGTTTATGGAGAAAAAAAAATATTTCACTCAATCAACAAATGTCAACATAGCAAAAACAAAACAAAACAAAAAAACTTGTTGATGCTGATCAGATCACAGATGCCAGCGAAATTTTTTATTTTCGTTAAATTACTGATGATGATGATGATGATGGAAAATTGCAATTCAATTAGTCAAACGACATATGTTTTTTTCTATTGTTGTTGTTGTTCAAAATCAAATTTCAATCGAAATTTACAGAAAGAAAAACAAATAATGATAATAACGCCGGGCCCCATTATTCCATAATGTTGATTTCACAACCGATAATAAACATTATTTTCCTATTAATTAATTGAAAGTAATAATTTTTTTTTTGTTTTTTCCATTTTTACAACAATATAGATTTGTATTTGTAATCACTGATAATCACTTATTACTTTTAAAAACAACATAATAAACAATAACAAAAAAAAAACATTATGCACTTTATCATTTTCTTCGTTTTTGTACACTGTTTCGTTTTTCCCGAATTAATAAATCAATATTAATAATATCGACCATAAAAGAAATTTAAAAAACCTATTTGTTTGAAAATGTTTTTTTTGTGGATAAAAGATGGCGCTTTTAATCAGGATTCAATCAGGTCCTGACATCTTTTGAGTAAAGTTTTTTTTTGTTGTTGTTGTTATTTAATTTCGAACACACGTGCAAACTTGAATTTTTTTTTTGTTTTTGTTTTTTGATTTTTTTGAAAAAAAAATTCATCAATTTTTATCATAAAATAAAATTGGGTAAGTTTTTTTTCTCATCCACTTGCAATAATAATCATTCGTCAAGTTCATGATCGATAAATGTTGATCAGAAAATCAATTTTCATTCCTTCACTTTTTTTGGTTTATCAAATATTTTATTTTAGTTTTTATAAAAACAACAAGTAATTAAACACTTTATTTAAACAACAATAATAATAAAAGTATTCAAAGTATCAATAAACAAAACAATTACATTTAGATTATTATTGATAAAAAGAAAATTGTAAAATATTAATTGAAAAAATGTACGAGTTTTTTGGAATTTTTTCTTCTGTTTGTTTGTTAGCAAATATTTAGAAAAACAATAAAGATCATGTTAGAATTAAAACAATAATTCTATTTAATTAATGTTCTTAGAACTTTTAGTTATTTATATAAATACTTATGTATTGCATATTTACATTTAACCTTCTATTTGCCATTGTTAATATACTTGATTAAACTTGTGTTTTGTTTAATTAAACTGCCAGGTTATTGGATCCACGTCACGTTATTGTTAAAATGTCTTTATTCGCATCGATTTCACCGATACCAAAGTTATTGAATAACTGGAACATTTGGTTTAGATCTGTCAAGCTTACAATGACTAGTCTTAATCTCTGGAAATGTTGTATTCAAAGTGAAGTAGTCATTGATGATATTGCTTCGTTGAACCGTGCAATGGCGATTATCCTCGGCTCTTTAACAGAGATTGATGCCAATCTCGTTATTTCTTGTGAATCTCCGTATTTGATGTTGAATGTTTTAAAGATGAAATATAAAGGTTCCAAGTCATCAAATATTATGTCACTGAAAGGCGATTTTCATATCCTTTCATATGATGATGATCTGAATTTCATTGGCTGTATACGAGAGATAAATGCGGAACTTATGTCTTTTGGTAATGCTCTTGATGAAATGGATATGTTTCATTAAATTTTGATTTCTGTGTCAATTCTGATTCGGATCTGGGTGGAAATCTATCAAATCGAAGAACAACTACTGGTTATTTAGTTTGGTTTAATTAAAAAGAAAGCTATACATCAACGTTTTGTGGTTGACAACACTTGTGAAGCCGAATTTATTGCAGCAGCACAATGTAGTAAAGATGTGAAATTTATACTGAATATCTATTCAAATATAGATTTAAAGATTGATATCAAGCCTATTTTTTATACCGATAATCAATCAACAATTTCTCAGATTAATTCGGATTCATTGTCTTTTCGATTGAGGCAAAAATGCCCAACATACTGTTTATATGTAAATGAATGAGAGTTAGACATTTTTTCATTATTTATCAATTATTTTTTCATAAACCAAAAATAACGAAGAAAATCTAAACGTTTAAAATAACAAATTGGCCTTATAAATACTACTGCTGTTATGATTATTGTAATTGTACGTGATAGCAAACATGTTTGACAAAAATCATGTCCAATAAATATGTATAGAATACTTTTTTCCAGGGTAAAAAAAACAAGTTGATAGTTTGAAAGAATTTCAAAAATTGCAAAAAACTTACATCTATCTTATTGATCACCAATAATATTCAAAAATGTAACATCAACCCCCAAACAAGTTGACATAATAGATGTAGCGGCTTATTGATTCAAATTTTTCAAACAATCGTTTTTTATCATCAAATTGATTCAGAAAACAACAAAGATGAAGACGTAGAACAATTTGATTGGACAATTGGACAAAAAATTTCAAACAATGTCCAAGATGATATTCAACTTAGCCAACATCCATTTTGATTTGCCAACAGTGTGACCAATATTTTTTTCAATAATGATGATGAATGATTTTGATGAAGAAAATTATTTAGCAAATTTATTTGATAATGATGATAAATTATTGATTGATTCAATGATCGTCAGCACCATGGAATGATTGGAAATCAAAAATACAGATTGATCTTGATTGAAAATATATTAATGAAAATATTATATTTGGAAAAATATGATTTTATCAGATATGATTCATTGACGAAAAAAACCCTGTATTCAGTCTATTCGATATATTTTATTTGGTTATTGTTATGATCTACGTAAAAAAAGATTTTGAACATTCATGTGAATCATCGTGGACAATTCAAAAACTATTTCCAACATTATACTGTTTTGAATATTGGTTACCACTAAATAATAATGATTATCAATTTTAAGATGATGATAATTCAATGTTATTGAAAGAAAAAAAATATGCCAAAATTAATGCTAATCAATTGTTTGCGTAGATCATTAATATATCCATTATATAGAAATTGGAAATTATCAATCAAAGTGTTAATGGATGTTATCGATATTCTATCTATCGGTACGAATGCTATACTAAAATGTTTATTGGGTAAGTTGTTGTTTGAAATTCTTTTTTTCACACTGATATTTTTCAACTCAACATATTTTAGATATGCTTAAAATTATGGCTATCGATGGAGAAAATCGATCATTAATCAATGATTTATATTTAACCCAATATTGCTGTTGGATTCAACAGCAACAACAAAAACAAAAACAACTGGATCATTGGTTTAAATCATTGGCTTAATTATCTATCAACAATATGCAATAACAACAAATATATTGATAAACAAACGTTGGGATTAGATTTGCTTGTGTTGGAAAAAGCAGCTAAAATTGCCATCGATGAACAACAACAACAACAACATTTATCAAAAGGATTAAAATATTTGCTTCAGATTTCTAATCATCGTGTTTCAATCGATGATGATAGTGATGATGATTGATTGATTGAAATAAAATAAAAAAATTCTTACCACTTGGTTTTACTGCTGTTTCATTACAATTAATATCAGCATAACGGATAGATTTTTCATTATCCATTGATTGTTCCATTAATGGTGTTTTTTCATCATCATGTTGTTCATCGATTGATGTCCACTCAACGATATTGCTGTTTGTTTACAGTGAAATCAGTGATTATCTTG